TGGTATCGGATGCTTCACAGTGCGGTCACCGGGTCAGGACAAAGAGAAGCATTTGGGCTTCCTCAGCAGGAGAGCTAATAGCAATTTAGGATTAATGTTTGTAGAAATAAAACTCTTACTAAAATTTATGTATTATTTAACTTAAGCTATATCAGAAATTCTAAAATGAGAGAAAATATTATTCAAAATATAAGAAACACTTCCTCGTAAGACTTGGATACTTGAAAGTGTCCCTCAGAGACATCTATGGCACATACTCGATTAATTTCTAACCTTACTCCAACTATCAAGTATTTACTGATTTCTGTTTTGCACTCACATTGTATGAGAATAAATAACTGGCCCCCAGATATGTTTTTCCTTTTTTTTTTTTTTTTTTTACTACTTCAGTGGACTGATGTCAATGGAAAGGTGACCCCGGATTTGCCAGAACTTTAATCCCTCTGCTACTTAATGGTCTCAACTTCCTATCATTCAGTTATTTAAACATCATATTGTAGTTTGATGGCCACCTAGTACTTAGGACAGCACGCTGCCCCACTGAGGGTCAAGAAGGGGGACCAGGAACAGAGAGGAAAGGTCACTGGCCAGAGAATTCAGAGTTGAAGGTTACAGTTAACTTTCACAGGAGACTGACTGTGCGACGCTGGGCATTAGCATCCAGGTGGTGCTTTTGATGTTTGAGGAAAAATGGTTCTAGAACATTTTTTATTTGCTCTTTAATGGCAGAAATAGGCTCACACTCATCTGCACATCCTCCAGAAGCATTTGACATAGTGACTTAACACCTGAGTTAAAGGTCCCCAAAGAGTAGAGGTCTCTGTCCCACTTCCGTGATCATGAGACTCTGGAATAATTCCTGGTTAAACACCCAACTAGCATGGTAATATCTGCCATAAATTCAAGAAAGCAAGACAGTGTTAATAGGGGCAGTAAAACAAAACTGAGGAAAAAGGGACAAGAAAGAGAAAAAAGGGAACGTGAGGGGACAAGAGTAAAGAAGGAAGACTGAAAATAAGAGCAACAACCCGAGGCCTATAAAGTCGGTGAGCCTACATGACATTTTTATAACTTAATATGAAATAATCTAACAGTCAAAATATCTCATTTCATTTTTAAAGGGAAGTGTAAACAACCCTTAAATCCAGAGATGCACATATTTAAATGTGAAAATAAAATAAGCAAGTATGAATGAATTCGACTTTATACACAAATGAGGCGAACGTCCTGCACTCACAGTGTAAACAAAGTTTCCCAACAGCAGGTAATCGGAGGTTTTCCCGTTCCCGAACACAGTACCTGCGTGAAAAGAAGAGAGGCTCGTTTGAGAAGAAAATAAGTGAGGTCCTTTCAGAATCCTTTCAAAGATAAATCCACTGAAAAGTGCTGAACAGAGAAGCAGAACCAATGGCCACACAGGGAGCCAGAACTGAGGCTACTTTAACAAAACGCTGGATGACGTCTCATAAAGTTGCCATTAACGTGGGTAAAACATCGTAACAAATGAAAACCAGATTTCCAGTAGCCAACATAAGAAGGAAACTGGACCTGTTAGCCAATTCTCAAGGTTCATGAGATTTAAAAAAAAAATCAAATGAATCGTCCCAGTAAAGCTTCATGCTGTGGGCAGTCAGACAGGAGAAGGCATTCTGAACCCTTCTTACTAAAGCACTTGGTTAACAGCATAGACGGGGTTTTAGGGAGCCTTCTTACTGTCTCTCAATAAAGTCTGTTGGCATTGGCTGAAAGGGATTCAAAAAAGCAACATACAGAGGGCAGGGGAGCACCAATTTAATCCTAGGCATATGGTGCTTTGAGGATCTGGCTGAATTTAGGGGCTTATCTAAAGGTATTTTGTTATTCCAACAGTGACTAACAAACATGGCTTCAGATGAAGGGAGTGGTACTAACAAACAAAAATCACTATTACTGATTAAAAAAAATCAAACTAAAATAAAAATACTAATTTAATCATTGGTACTGTTGAAAAATTAAAAACCCATGGTATGTGTCATGCAGGATTTTACTGAGGCACATATTTGACAATATTTATTCAGTCTAATACATAAGGACCAAGCATGTTAGAGTTGACTATGAGAGGAGGCAGGCAGAGTGGCGCTGGAATGAGGGAGAAAGATGGGTCCGGTGGGCTCTGGAGAGACAGACCAGGCTAGGGTCCGTTACAGGCTGCGTCATCTTGGGTTATTTGTCATCAGTCTCCATGGAATTCAGTTTCTTCACTTAAAAGATTGAGTGAAACTATCTACCCTGGAGGGGTTCGGAGTTTAAAGTGAGCTAAATATATAAAGCGCCCAGCCAGGCTCCAGAGTATGACCCTTCTCTCTCGAAGGCTTTCAGAATAGCCTAGTAGAAACCTAGGGTATTCCATGATGGAAGACATAGTTTCTGATGTGCTAACATGTCCTGTGGGGATGTGGTGGACAAATGCAGATGTCTGCAATTAATTCGCAAACTTCCATAGACCCAAATTAACAAACTCAAATCTACAAAATAACTGAAGGTATCTTGTGATTACTTCTGAACTTCCATGCTTCTGCTATGAGGCACATTGGTTAGGTCCTTTGATCAACATAAGCGAGTTATCCAACATAATCACAGTCCAGTCCAACTAGACCTTCTAGTCACCATTGGGTTGTCACAAGGGAGCTGGAGTATCATTTCAAAATCGAATTGAGGAAGAAAGTTAAAAGCTGTTGTTGAGTTTGTCAGGTTTAGCATTTGGATGGTTCAGGTAAATTATTCGTGCTAGCACTTTCTGTTCTCCGGACCCCTTAACACTCTTAAAGCTTATTAGGAATCTCCCAGAGCTTTTGTTTATGTGGTTTATAACTATCGATATTTACCAAATTAGAAATTAAGACAGAAATTTAAAAAATATGTATTGATTTATCTAAACATAACAGGAATAATCCCAATATATGTAATATAAACAGATTTTACGAAACATAACTATTCTCCCAAACAAAAAAAATTAGTGAGAAAATCAGCACTGTTTTACATTTTTTTATCATCTCTTTAATGTCTAGGTTAACAGAGCTGGATTCTCATATCGTTTTGGTTGACATATATGAGGGAAATCCAACCTTCACAGAGAGACGGGAGTTACAAAGGAGAGAAGTATTTTGATAACCTTTTCTAATACCCACAGCTACTCTTTGAGACAACATCAAAACTCAACAAGTGGTCTCTTACAGAGGTAGAGACAGTTTCCTAAAGCTTAGTTTCACTGTGGAACCTGAAACTGTTTTGGTGGTGAGCACACTGCTGTGCAGACAGAAGAAGAAACACACTGTTTTACACACAGAACTTACATAATGCTATAAACTAATGTTACAATAAAAAAAAGAAAAAAAAATCCATCGGTCCAGTTTGACCTTTGAATGGATCTTTTCTGGAACCTCACAAAAGCAGCTGGGTCAGCTCACAGCTCACAACAATCCCCAGACACTCCGCCTTGACACAGCGGCTGTGCCGTGGAAGGCAGCCGGAGCGCTCTGTGCATACTTTCCGTTTTGTGACACAGAATATTAATAAACTGTGTATCAAGTTTCAGGATTTAATAACAGTATGAGGTTTACAGCTTCTTCAAGGGCATTCTTAAGTGAAATGGCTTTTCTGGGTTGTTTTTTCCATGTGAGTACATGGCAGTGAAGACTACAATGACTTCTGGTACCACCACACCACTGTTTGTGTCCAGGTACCAGCAATTTTACCCACTGTTGCTCTTGCAATAGCAGTGAAAAAGGTAAGAAATGTCTTGAAAATACAAAAAATTTGAAACTGAAAATTTGAACTCACTCATGGATCTTCCTCTAGAAGGTTTTGGGTATTTCCCTGGTGTCTACAGACCACACTTTGAGAAAGGCTGAAGCAAGTGAATACGTGAATATTTAGCTCTACATTATATAGCTGTTTCTATTTCTTCTGCACCCCATCCTTTCCAAAGCTAGAAAAAACAAACACACAAACAAAAAACAAAAACACAAAAAGAAAAAAACAAAAACAAAACCCCTCCTAATTTAAAAACAAAAACAAGGCAAAAAACATCAGAATGTTGAGATAGAATTTATGTGCTATGTCATTTATCTCCTAAGATGAGAAAGCATGCATTCTCGGGACTTGGCTGGAAGAGGGTCCCGCAGGCAGAACCCCTCGTGAGCAGCCTCTGCTGAGGCCGATGGCTTTGGCAGCCCCCCAGACAAATGCAAAGGGAGACCTAGGATCTGGTCTTAAGGGGCTGGAATTACTTGGGAGTTCCTTTCAAACCCTGTTACTGCTGAAGTGTTTTGATCGGTAGGGCGTTTTAGATGCTGTTCAGTTTGAGCTCCTTTTGACAGTAAGTTCCTTTTTTTTTCTAATTTATAATACTAGAATAACAGTTTCCTAGATGGCCATGCCTGGTCTTCCATACCAATATACTGATTTTGCATTAGGAAAATAAACTCCCTGGAGTACTTATCTAATGGGTCCTGTATTGTACCCTGGATTTCAACACCCCATGGCTCCCCAAAGTGGAAACAATCCAAATGTCCTTCAGTGAATAAATGGATAAACAAAATATGGTCTATCCATACAATGAAATATTATTGACCTGTAAAAAGGAAGGAAGTACTGATTCATGCTGCAACAGGGATGAACTAAGGTCATGTATCATGATTTCATTTATATGAAATGTCCAGAATAGGCAAACCTGAGACAAAAATCAGTGGCTGCTGGAGACTGGGGCATGGGGGTGAGGGGAAACGAGGAGGGACTGCTTTAGGGGATGGGGTGATGACAATGTTCTGGCATTAGAGAGTGGGGACATTTGCACAATTCTGTGAATCTACTAGAAACCACTGAATTGTATAATTTAAAAGGGTGAATTTTATGGTATGTAAATTTTATCTAAAAAAAAATCCCACTGTGATTCTCCTGGCCTACGGGGTCAATATCTTATATTTAGATTTTCTTACCACATGTATTTCCCTGCCGTAGAAAATGAGAAGCAGTCACTGTTGTACTGGCAGAGCCGTTAATAAAGGAAGGAGAGGAATCCCTGATGAGAACATGAAACTGTTGCCTTCCCTTTAACACTCTCTACCCCCACTCATGCCACCTGCCCTCATTAACTCAGCCACGGTGGCCTGGGTGCCTCCAGGGAGCCAAGCCCTGCTCTAGGCACTGCGAAACAACAGCGAACTAAATGGACAGTTCCCTGCCCTTCTGGAGCTTTGATTCTAACAGAGGAGAATGACAATAAAAAAAAATAAGCAAATATGTCACAGCCTGATAGTCATGCACCGTGAGTAAGACAGGAAGGCAGGGGGAGAGTGGCAGGAGCAGTGGGGGTGGGACTGGTGGTTCTTTAGGGTCGGGTGATCTGGGAGGGCCTCTTCCAGCACAGAGCACAGACCCCAGGGCCAGGGCAGAAGGGAGAGAGCCAGCTGGAACAGCACGTGAAGAGTGAGGAATAGCACGATGCCTGTGGGCTGGAGCTGGGTGTGGGGGAAAGCTCAGAGGGTGACAGTGATGGGGAGGAAGGATTGGTGGGGTTGGCCAAGGCGGGGGCTGTGGATTTCATTCTAAATGTGATAGAACATTGGGTGCATGTATCTTTTTGAATTAAGGTTCCCTCTGAATATATGCCCAGGAGTGGGATTGCTGGATCATATGGTAAGTCGATTTTTAGTCTTTTGAGGAATTTCCAATGTTCATAGCAGCACTATTTACAATAGCTAAGATATGGAAACAATCTAAATGTCTATTGACAGATGACTGGATAAAGAAGCTGTGGTGCATTTATACAATGGAATACTACTCAGCCATAAAAAAGAATAAAATAATGCCATTTGCAGCAACATGGATGGACCTGGAAATTGTCATACTAAGTGAAGGAAGCCAGAAAGAGAAAGAAAAATACCATATGATATCACTTATATGTGGAATATAAAAAAAAGACGAACTTCTTTACAAAACAGAAACAGACTCACAGACAGAAAACAAACTTATGGTTACTGGTGGGGAAGAAGGTGGGAAGGGATAAATTGGGAATTTGGAAATCTGCAGATACTAACTACTATATATAAAATAGATAAACAATCAGTTTACACTGTATAGCACAGGGAACTATATTCAATACCTTATAGTAACTTATGGTGAAAAAATATGAAAACAAATACATGTATGTTCATGTATGACTGAAGCACTGTGCTGTACACCAGAAATTGACACAGCACTGTAAACTGACTACACTTCAGTAAAAATATATATATTAAAACATGTGACAGAGTCTGTGGAGTTTTGAGGAGGGAGGCACTGGGTCTGATTTCCGTTTTCCAGGGATCCCTGAGGCCGCCTGTAGTGAAGAGACAATAGGTGGGAGGAAGAGAAGACACTTCACTCCCTCGGCCGGCATTAACTCACAGTCCACAGGGACACCGGCACCGCTAAACGATGCACAGATGCTCGGGAGGAGCACACGTCGTGTGTCAAGTACATAGTCTGGGAGCTGAACGGTCAGCCGTCGTCCACGGGATCTCAGGGCAAGGACAGCTCCGGACACGGCAGCACCAGCTTCAGCATCCCAGGGATCTCTTTTCTAACGTGGCTCCTTAACATTTTTATGTGCATAGGAAATTTACCATGATCCTCTCTCTCACAACTAACACAATAACCTCACTGCCTCAGAGCAAGCAGAGAAAAAGATCACCCTTCAAGATGCACATAAAAACATATTAAAAATCTCATTCAAAACACCGGCCCAAGGACGTACACTGGAAAATACTAGCGTGCCTGATTAAGTTCAGTATAACGAGTTGGTACAAGCCTCACAGGGATAATAAAGAGACTAAATAAAATATTAGCACTATTGTCTTCAGCAGAGGGGAAAAAAGAGCCCTAAAATTTAGCTCTCTGCATATTTGGAAAACATGAGAAGTAGGGAAGAAAGGCTTTGCATATATTAAATCACCATGCTCCCAAAGGAACAGTAAAAATCTGTAAAGTGTGTACAACTTCTAGACGCATGTATTTTAGGTTAAGGAAAATATCATAAAATGAAACATTGCTATCATTTTTAACGCATATTGACAATGTTATTTTTTCTAAAAAAGTAAAAAGTCATCTCTTAGCATTCAAATCCTTTCTACTTACCATACTGAAGGGCTTTTAGTGGAAACCAAAACAGAATAACGGAGTGGAAGAGGCCATTTAAACAATGAACCCAGAAAACCTGAGGGAAAACAAAAATCCATGAGAACCATTTGCGATAAACTAGCTCTGTGAACCCTGACCTTTCTTTTTATCTGTGAGCTAGATTCACAAAACGTGTTTCTGTCGGGCCACCACTGTGAATTAAAAGAACTGACAGACACTTTCTGCCTCTTAGACCTTCATGGGTCATTTATTTATTTTTATGTTTCTCAAATGTTTTTTCAGCCTCATTGAAATTTTTCTACTTTTTAAAAACCAAGTATTAAAAGTTTAAATTCCTGCCTGAAAAAGAAAATAAAATTTAAGATAACTGCAGATCCTGAAATTCTTTAAGTGGGACTATCTTCATAATTCCAGAAGAGAACAGACTTTCGAAAAAGATTATAATTTGGTGAAATCCCTATTTTCTCTTTTTCAGGCAAATAAAAGTGTAAACATTTTAATGGTAAGGATATAATGCATTCTCTCTCCATACACACACACACACACACACACACACACTACCATAAATTGCAAGTATAACATTTAAGTCGTATTAATTCCTTAAAGCAAAGCATTTTCACTAGGGCCGAAGATATAAGAGACTTTCACAATTTTTAAACACCTGTCAACATCAAACTTCATTCAATTATAACATCATTTAATAGTAATTACTTTCTCTATTGTATTTTAAGAACAAGGAAGCAAGTATCACTGGTCCTTTCTTCGTAACATGGATGTGAAAGATTAAGTTATAGAAAAACCATTTAGAACTCTTATGACCCTTTGAATGGTTGCAGTTTTGTCATTTAAAAGTGCTTCTTGCAAACAAAACTTATGCTAAATAAAATTGGCATGTATTAATAGTTTTAAGCTGTTCAAACAACAGAAATTAAGTTGCCTGCCTCCCAAAATTTTCCACTGTGATCTCAACCTCCTTTGTTAGTTCACCCAGCCACACTGGATTGTATGATCCAATTTACGCTCCAATACATTACACATTTGAACTTGTGTTACTCATTAACCTTTGTCTCTTCTCCTCACTATGTCATTACCGCAAGTTTTTATTTGACAGAAAGCACAGGTGGGTGCAAGAAAAATTAGTTCTACTTTTCCATTTTCCTGACCGATACTTATTGTCACATGTTAATCCTTTAACCCCTGTCACGACCTCAGAACCTCCGACCCTTCTTACCATAACAAACGTAATCATCATCATTCAGGGCAACGATGCTTCCACGCTGGGGACCCACAGCCACTACTGTGTATACAACTCTGCATTTTGTAACCATTTGTCCCTGAATTTTAAAACGTGTATATGGGACTTATTCAAAGAATTTTTCACTGAAATCATTAGAAAAACCCATAAACCCTATAAAAATTGTTGGCATCTTGTGCATCTATAAATACTTAAAATGCATACAGGAGTTATATAATCTCTTCGGGTTGATCTGATGACTTCTTGAAATGCATGGGCTTTGCAGACAATGAAACACTTTGTATACAACAAAAGAACAGCAAAAATGCAAGGGATGATGCTCACACTTTAAAACTATACACTACCTGCCGCACCTTTTTCTCTGGCCACAAAACTGTTTCCAAGGTGCCATGTGCAAAGGGCATGAAAGGGTGTGACTTCCCAGGAGTGGTTTTGGGTCATCCTGTGAGGATCACTATGTTTCTAAGCAAGAGTACCATGGCCAACTTAGGGGCTGGGACATAACTCCTGAGAGAACACCGCGGAGCTGGAGCTGTGGCAGATGGGGAAGGGTGGCGGAGGCTAATGTGAGGGTCTGGGTCGAGGAGGTTTACTGTTAGTGTGCCTGGAACCTTCTTAGTCTCAGATCACATTTTCAAGGAAACAAGAGCTCACGGTCCATTCTATCTGCCCTGATTGTGGCTTTCCACCATGTGAAAATATTCACCACAGGTAATGAAAAACATTACAGCAAGGCAGTGGAGTTTAACACAAACTGGATATCAAAAATAAATTGGATAATGATCAATAATGGAAAGATCTCTTAAGAATATTAGTATGATTTCATAGTAGTTAATGACATAATAAATAATAGACTACAAAACCTACTACTAAAAAAAAGGCTCAAAATGAATAACTGAACTAAAAGAAGAAAAAATTATAAGACAATAAATTAGAGAAGTGGGAATAAAAGAAAAGAAGACTTAAAGAAAAATTCTGAAAAAAATCCCCAAATAAAACATTTAAAAATAAAAGCAGACACTGCATATTATAAATAGCAACAGTTTTCAGGGACCACTAAAAATATCCATTAGAACCAACGATGTAAGTCAAAGAATCTTTCAGTTTTTTAAAAAAAAATTTAACCAAATTCAGTAATTTAAAACCATGCCCTCAAGTTGGATGCATATGCACACCTGGACACATTCGCACAGGACATTCATGAAGACCTAGTCTCAGAAGACGAATAACATCCTGGTGAGAAACTTCACATCGTCATTTACTGTGTGAGGGCGGAGGCACTGACACACCTGTTTCACTTTACTCTCTCGGTAGACTGAGAACAAATGTCCATTTGAGAGTTTTATGAATTAATAAATGTTTAAAATATCCTACATTCACTTCCTAAATTCAAAACACTGAAGTTAGGTTAAATCTAATTATTAGTAACACGCTAATAAATATCCACTAAATATACAATGGGAAAAAATTCTCTGAAGGCGTATTTGATGCTTTTATGATAGTTTTGAAATGGCATCCACCTTGACTGTTATAAAATTAAAAATTTTTTTCCCTCACTGACACTGGATAGAAACCTGAATTACTAACAAACACCAGTGGAAAATCAGAATAAATAATTGCAGTAAAATAAACTATACAGGAAATGAGATATTTTTGTCACTGGGATGAATAAGTACCCTGGATCACAAAGGTGACAGTAGCCCATGGTTTGCTATGAAGGATATAAACCTAGAATATGATTTTGGATAAAATGTTGGATATTTTATCTTACATTAAATTTTATAGCTTGGAAATACTGAAGTATTAAGGTTAAATGAGTTATCTACCAGAGACTATATTTTTAATGCCCAAAGCAATTTAATATTCGAATGGGGACAAAGTCATTTCACAAAACCAAAAATCAGTAAAGAGTGATATATCATCCTCACTATTTCATACTTGTAAATACAGTCCTTGTCAGTCCTGGATGAGTGAGCACCTTCCTACAACACTGCGAAGACAAAGTCAGAGGGCCAAGGGGACACCCCCTCTGCCTGCCACATCCAGTTTACTGCTGCCTGGCAAACCCCAGTGAACTGTGGTTACATTTTAAATTTATAGCAAAACAAAACACCTCTTCAGTCATATCAGAATCTTAAGCAAATCTGACTTGCCATGGTCGGGACCCTGGAGTTGTTTCCTGGGCTGTGGAAGACCAGGTGGCCCAAACGATCGGAGAAGAAAAGCAAGTCCCACCAGGGCACTGAGTCCTACCTTGGTGTTGAAGTCCAGGGCGTTCTGAGACGTTTTGTATAATTCAGGATATTTCAACATATTCTCTTTTCTGCATGACCTCTCAAATATTCCCAGAGTTAACGGCGGCATTGCTGTAAACATCTAAAGTGCACAAATCAGTCATTTCACCAGCCAGCCAAACACAGGGTGAACTTTAATCTCAAAGTATTCCAAGGAACAGGAATAATCAGAAGGCCTAAACTTACCACGTTATAAAGACCTATGCACCATCTCTCAAAGAGGATCTGTCCAGAAAAGCCATTAACAAAGGCAAACCAGATCTGGGAAGAAAACAACCCCAAGACCCTCAAATTAGAACACAAAAACATAAACGCATTGCTTAGAATCTGCGGTAAACTCAACCACTACATAACAGCGTCATTAACACAGCAGTTTCACGACTCTCTTGAAAATGGCATTTCTTTGCTTCACTTTTTAATTTGAAGGGATGCTTTCATAAGGTCTTTGCTATTTAAGTCAGAATTGGTTCCACTTGTTGAATCAAAAAAGAACTATATCAATAGGCAATCAGATTTTTAAAGTTAGACAAAACTGTGTTTCCTAAAAGGTATTTTAGGGAACGTATTTTATGCCATTAAATTTTTAGAGCTTTAATTCCTTTTTAAAATATCTACCTTCTGATAGATAAAGATTATTGTTATTTTTATTATAATATAAAATCTGTCTATTTTTAAAAATTAAATAATTTCCTATAATAGTCCCATCACCATTTGTTTTCTTCTGTGTTGGTTGTATTCATATAGTTCATTTATATACGTTCATAAATCTGTCCTCTGGAAACTTGTATGTAGTGTCATGTTCTGCTCCTCTCCTTCTTAACATTATATAAAAGGCATTTTCTTATGTTGTTACATATCCTTTTAAATGATGTTAATGAATGTATATCCCCTACAGTGTGGCTATAACTATTTTTGGATATTTAGCTTGCTTTCAGTTTTTGCTATTATACATAATTCCGAACTGAATATTCCTGTACAGAAATCCTACATATCTCTATTTCCTTAGGATGAATTCTTTTTTTAATAAAAATAGCTTTATTGAGATAAAATTGATATACAAAAAAGACATACATTTACTGTATACATTTTGGTGAGTTTGGACATGTGTGTAAATTCATGAAATCGTCACCTAATCAAGGTAACAAACATAGCCACCACCTCCAAAAATTTTCTTGTGTCCTTTTTCTTCTTTTAGGATGAATTCTTAGAAGTAGAATTAATGGGTCAAAGTACATAAGCTTTTAAAAAATAGTTCTTGATAATGATAGCCATCATAATGCAAAATTTGAATTTATATATTAAAAAATAGTTTTGTAACAAATTTATGCTTCAATTAAAAACAAATCTTTAATAGAGCATCATGTTCTTATATATTCTGCAGATAGCTTAAAAACAGAAAGCTTAACTTTTGATACAAAATGAAAGGGCAATATAGAGAACCTTTCTCCAACATGTTTAAGACAAATGGAAAATTAAAGTGAATATTAGTAAATCAATAATCCCTACATTATTATTTGTTTTAAAAATGCAGACCTAAAATGTAATTAAAAATCAAGTTGATCTGGAAGAGTAAAATGTCTGGCCCAACAATGAAATCACATAAACACAAACACAAAACCAAAATAAAACAACAGCAACAAAAAAAAACCCCTTAGGGGACAGCAGCCTTGAGGAGCCGGTCAAGTGAATTTCTGAATTGGAGTCGCAGGGACTTTGCTACACTTCACGTTTCATTTAACCTCATTATGGAAGCATGAATTGCTACAAATTCACCATTTATCAATATGTACCCAGGCCGGCCTCCCTATGAAAAGTTTCTGTACCCACACTGATCTTTTTCCTTTTTATGGTGGAAAGGAATGACTGAGCATAGATAAAAACGAATGTCTGCTTCATGAGATGGAAAAGAAAACAAAGTAGCAATAGCACATGAAAAGTAAGCCCAAATTGTGTTAAGGTTGTAACAGACATTAGCAACAACAAGAACAAAAGCATAAACATGGGAGGCAAATCTGAAATTCTTACTTGCTCTGCTACATATATTTACAGGAATAAAACCTGACCATGTACCCTCAGTTAAGAGCCAGATCGTTTGTTGCTATATGCAAATTTAGCATCTTCATGTGATGTTAAATTTACTCCTTGGGATGGTGCTGCTGACTCAAAACTTTATTTTTTTAAAGCGTAAGTAGACACAAATTGACAAGGCTGACTTTAATGCTCCCTATTGTGTTTTCACAGTTGGCTTTTCTGAGATGTGGATTATGTAAATACATATTTGTGATCCTCTGGATGATGCCAGTGTTCTCCCTGAAGGCGACTGTGGTCTATTGTAGTATTACACACCAAGAAGCCAGTTCAGATTTCTTAGGGTATGATGGTAATATCTGGAATTTTTAAACATGAACTTTCAATTATGGCTTTAGTAGTCTATGAAGATACATATAATCTTCATTGGTCTTAAGAAAGCTGAAGCTGCTTGCATATCAAATTTGTTTAACACACATGATTTGGCTTCAAGGTTATAGTTATAAGTGCATTTGCAATCACCAGTACTGGATAATATTAACGTGAATTTCTGTGTGAGTAAACATCTGTAAATGAATGGTCTCCTAGCTTCCCTGTACACAACATTCAGTGCTGGTTAAAATACCATTGTGAGCTTGAAATTTAGGATCTCCTTCAGATCACTGGATATTTACATAAAGTTTCCAGTTCAAAATAACTTGCAAATAAACCAACATGTTTGCAGTCAAAGTCTATTTTAAAATGTACCAGTTAACTGCTTTGGGAGACAAATGGGAAAATTTTAAGTGGAAAACCATTAACACATTTTTATCTTTTTATTTTTCCTACTGAAACATGTGAACATGTTTTTAGAAGGCCTCTTGCTGTATTTAAAAAAAACTTAATATTCTAATTTCTTTTATTAAAAAAGGAGAAATAACTAGATAGGAATTGATCCTTGCAAGATAGTATCTTCTATCTTTGTACAAATATTTCGGCATTCAAGTTTATATCATTTAAAGGAAAAAAGTTTTTACGGTGAAGAAGTCTACTAGAAGGCTGATTTCAAGTCAGTCTGAGATTTGTAGTTGAAAGCTGTATTAGAAATGTATTCCATACTAAGTAAAACACCACCTAAATTACTATAAACACATGAAAGTCCCTCCTTTGACTCAATAAAACCAATGACGTGGAAAGAAAACATCAGCCCCTCTGGGAAGTTACCTACATTATTTAAATTCACAGGAAATCCATATCCCAGCACAATTCTCTGGGAAAGTATCACCTCATTGACTTTAATCAAAGCTTCCGGAAATTAGAAATACTCTGTTGCTTTGGGATCTTCCTGGAAAACCTGGATGCGACTAACTGTTTGAAATAAAAGGTCTTATTTTGCTAGGAAGGAGTCAGATGTTCCAGAGAAATGGGGAAAAAACAAAACGAAACAAAATCCCAACTCTTTAGAAAATGCCAGTAATTTCAGTGAACACCTAGAGCTGCTGCTGGGCAGCCCCCCCAAGTAAGCGCTTTACCCTGCCACCTGCTAAATCTGTATTTATTTGTTTGGCTGTAATTTACGGCAATGCAGTAGCTAGCTTGTGATATCCCTGGCAGGACAGCAATGGGAAAAGCAGTTTTTGCAGATAACCTATAAAACCATTAGTGTCCCATGCTATTCCTTTATTAGCAAAGAAACTTCAGACCTGCTTCTCCTGGTTTTATTTTCTAGCTTCCACATCCCAGTAGAGGCGTGGCAGTTAAAGCTTCACAGACATTTCCCTGATGGAGCATTTCTGCATATTAAACAGCAGCTTACAAACAGTCAGTGAGTCCTCTGCTCCCACGCCTGATCAGCACAAAAAACTGAAAGGAGAGGTTCGAGACTGGCAGTTGTCCTCACTAGAGACATTCAATGATGTGTTTTCTGTCTATTCATCCACAGTATTGACATGAGCCATTAACATCTGCAGAACTTGTTTTAGCTGGCAAAAGTTGGGTATCTGGGAATTGATTTAAAAGGTCAATTCGTTTCCAAGATAGTTGAATTATATTCAAAATACATTAACATAAACTGCTAAAAGAAAAATAACTTAAGAATGAGATTTCCAGTAAAGTTTAGGACGTACTTCCTTTTCAACATGTAAAGAATTTGATCAGTGTTAAATATCTCTCAAAGAGGCTTTAAATTCAAAGCCAAGTGAAATTCAGGGCTAATCAACCACAAATCGTGTAACTCTGGGTTTGAAACAGAGCGTACAGATTTCGTTTTTCATTTGAGTTTAATATATTTTATTTCTCCCATTAGTGCGTAACTTTGACCACTTCATCGTTGGTTGTCAAATAATATAGATTTAAAAAGTGGCAAGTTGAGTACTCTTATTTCATTCTGAACAATTAAATTTTTGTAAGCAGATTTATTACTGCCAGTGGCTTTAAACTCCTGCTACTTTCAAAAGTGTATGTAAAAAAAACTGTATAAATTGATATTCTTTTGAATGTCAATGTTTTGGGATGAGAAGAAAATACAACTACAAAAGTTAGAACTATAGAGAGGATTGGGTATCAAAATAATTATTTTAGAAAAGAATCACAAATTTATATAAAATAGTTTTTTTAAATCTTATAAGCTTTTCTGGAAGTGCATTTTGCTTCAAAACACAGACTATTCCAGACCAAACTTAGTAATGAACAATAAGTAAATTCACAGATTATCCTGTTTATGTTCCAAGTTCTTGATTATTTTACCTAATGGGTTGCAATCTAATGACAGCTTTTTAGTGATTGATAAATAAGCTGCCTGCATGCTTCAAACCTAAGTTTTCCCTTTACTAGTCTGACTCATAAAAAGAACTATGCTCAGTCAACATTTTGATAAGGAGATAAACATTCTGACAGGCATAAAGACCAGCTGAAGCAAACATACAGCAGCTACAACTAATTCATCAACAGGGGCAAGGGGGAATCTACTGAGTTTTTTGGTTTAAAGTGTTACTTCTGTGGTGTAAAATATGGGGTATTATTTCCACCTGGCAAATGGTTAGGTTCTGTCTTTCCTGATCGATGGGCAGAAATAGTGAACAGAGTCGAGGGCAAGGTGGCATAAGCAAACATCTGTAAGGGAGCCTGGAGCAGATTTACGAGGGCATAGGCAACTCCTCTGACAGGAGTGGAAGATAGAGGGATTTCTTAAGAAGCTATGGAGGGGGCAGGGTATAGCTCAAGCGGCAGAGCGCATGCCTAGCATGCAACAAGGTCCTGGGTTCAAACCCCGGCCCCTCCTCTAAATAAATAAGTAAACCTAGTTACCTATAACCTCCCTGACCCCCACCACCACACACACAAAAAGAAAAAAAAATGCTTTGTGAAGCCTCAAGAGGAGCAAGAAATAAGCATTACAAATATTGTTTCTGATGATAAAATGGTAAAAAAAAAAAAAAAAAAGTAACTTGCGTACCACACCCTGAATCTGCTTATTCATCTATTAGTGTTGTGTTATCCACGGTGGTAGCCACTGGCTACGTGGCTCCCTGAACACTTGAAATGTGATTAGTCCAAACTGAGATATACTCTAAGTGTAAAATACACACCAGATTTTGAACATTTAGCGTGAAGGAAAAAAGTGAGATACTGTATTAATAATATATGCTGAAATGATAATATTGAATATATCCAGTTAATTGAAAGATAATTAAAACATTTATTTAGGCTTTAATTTTTTTACTTGTTCACGTGGCTCCTAGAAAATGTGCATTCACACATGCGGCTTGTTTTATGTTTCTGTTGGCAAGCTCCAACAGAACCTTGCTTGATTTACTTTGTAGTTGCTGAACTAAGCCTGGGGCCTGGCATCCAGCAGGTACTGTAAAAATGTTCGCAGAACAAAATGCGTCCTCTTAGAAGTGATATTCCTGACCCAGGTTACGTTTTCATGTTAAAAATGATGTCATATTTGCTACATGAAAAGGAATATAGAAATTCCTTGTTATCCAGACACAGGAAGTGAGTCTTCTAATTTTCAGACAAATTCCTCATTGTCTGGACTCAACTTACCAAACTCAGAAACCAAAACAAGGGATCCTTGTATATAATTATCTAAGTTTGAACTACGAGAAGGCTAAGAACTGCAAGGTGGCCAATACCAGCAAAGCCACCCGTGCCTCCTACCAGATTAGATCCCCTGGTCGAGCTGACATCCTCAGTTTTCTGTCCACTGTCCCTTCCTTTTCTTTTTAAACACCATTTTCCTTGTTTGCATCCCGAAACAGCGTATAATTTTCTCATATGTTTTTGAGCTTTATAAAAAAATACTATATAGTTTGCAGTCTTTTAAGACCTGAACACATTACTTCATGAGCAATTGTAATTCGACATTTCTAACCAAAGCTGTAGCATGTTTTTAGTCAGAATTTAAACCTTGCTTGTTCTCCATGGCTGACAAACGTGTTGTTTTAACAGATTAAAAAGTTAGAAAAAGTGGGCAAATGAAGGATTAATTACAATGATGAGAAAATGTCCTCACCAAGAGAATTCTTACGTACACGCGCAGATGACAAGGATTTTAAACGGAACGTGCTGTTACCTCGATGATGTAGAGGACGATGTTCTTGTAGAAGCAGTACAAAATGCACTTGGAGACTCTGTTATAGTTCCAGGCACCATGAACCATCAATAAATTCTTCAAATACTTGAACTAAAATGAGAGTGGGAAAAAATTAGTATTTTCCTCTTCAGAGGACAGCTGCGCGGGACGAACGGTGTGTCCCGCGGGGCGACGCTGTACCTGCGCTATGGAGTAATCGGAGGAATTAGCCGCCTGAAGGCCTTCGTTGCCGCTGATCCCAACCCCCACGTGTGCCGTCTGGATCATGCTGACGTCATTTGCTCCATCCCCGATGGCAAGGGTTATGACTTTAACTTGTTTTTTAACCATCTCAACGACTTCAGATTTTTGAAGCGGAGAAACCCTTTAGATAAAAATAAAATTAAAAAAAAGTCAATTAACTTCGTTTTCTGAAAAAGGATTTTGAGATGTTATAGTCCTGAAGGATAAAAGCAGCAGAAGAGGCAAATGACTAGGTCTCTGAAGAATCATCATGGAGAAGCCCTAGGTTTACAAATGTTTAGTTCTCTGTGAGCCTGGCTGGCCACTTTAAGGGAAAAAATAAGGCCCTGGGAGCAAACCTCTAGGTGAGAGAAACTACAATGCCTTGCTAAGCATCAGTGTACCAGAATGCTTGCAGACATTTGTTAAAAAATGACATCTGAGTTCAGAAATCCCATTACTTCCTAACAAATAACATCAGAATGTCTAATTCCTCATTTCTGAATGAAAAAGAAAGTCAGAAAGGCTGTTGAGTGGTGTCCAAATACCAACTAAACCCTACACTATACGTGGAAAATAGAAGTTTTGAGCCTCTGCAAGCTGACCTTAGACGATGGACTATACATTTAGAACGACTTGAACCTTTACTTGAATTAACAGTAGGGAACTGGCTAACTTCTCAACCCGTCCTCAGGCACCCTGGTGAATCAACCAGAGTCAATACCAAGCACTTGATTACAAAGCTCATGTGCCCCAGTTTTCTTCCAAAGCTACTGACAATGGCCAAGTAGAATCAAGCAACCTTTAACAGAAAGGCAGGTCAGGAACAGGGAACACGAGCGTTCACACTAAAATCGTATTTGGTGCTACCTTTGGAGCAACTTATCACAGACTTTCAAAAGCCGTTTAAGAAATAAACCTCATGACAATCGCAGAAGAGCTCCATGACAGAAAACACCAGTGTGATTGACTTATACTGTCCACATGGTCTTGGTGATTAAAGAGAAAGAAAGGAAAACTGAACAGTGAACTGGCTCAGTAAACTATTAAGTAAACTGAGAAACACGCAATATATACAGTGTTAGTGGACAAGAGAAACAACTCAGAGCTGAACTCTTTACCAAGGTTAAGTGCAGTAAATACCTGCAGGAACATGATTAAGTATTTATTATTTGGGGTGGGAGTGGGTATAGCTCAGTGGTAGAGTGCATGCCCAGCATGCATGTGGTCCTGGGTTCAAGCCCCAGTACCTCCATTAAAAAGAAAGAAATTAACATAATCACCTACCCCTCCCCCTGAAAAAAAGCAGTACCTCTAAAAACTTATTTGGAGAGGGGATAGCTCAGTGGTAGAGCATGTACTTGGCATGCATGAGATCCTGCATTCAATCCCCAGGACCTCCATTTAAAAAAAAAATAAATAAACCTAACCCCCCACAAGTAATCCCCTTCCCCCCAAAAAACAACAAAAAATATCATTTGTTATTCTACTTAGAAATGGAGATTATGACTTTGCAAGACTCAATACATCTTTGCACGTTTCCCTGATTATTCCCTTAGGAAAAATTGCTCACAGTGGATATTGTGCACAAACATGTGCTTTCAGGAGGCCCAGCTGCCCTTCTCAAAGGCTTTAGCCAAGAACAGATCCGGTCTTTATTTCAAGTCTGAGATTCACTGTGTTAGGCTCTGAGTTGATGCAGAGTGAACCAGTCTCCTCATCTTCGTATTCCTAGTGCTGATCCAGAAGAGGTACTCAATAAACGGCTGCTGCATGAAAGAATTATTTTTAATTCTTTCTTTGTATTTCCTTTCGGAGTCTGGTGATAGCACCAAGTGACAACTGTGACACAGGAAGGGAATGGATGAATGTCAGGCCATGAATGGGCTTTTCCACTGTGAGCCCTCATTTTTCTTCGAAGCAATTTTCAGTTCATTTTCACATTTTATTTAATTTTTTTTAACAGGCTAATATAAATTGGTAAGCCCATTGGCTCTAGGCCAATGTTTTCAACATGGACTACGGCTGACATTTAGTAAATGTCAAGAAAGAATGCTCACCAAGAAATGATCTAAAAAGAAAATGGGAAATGGGCATGAAAATAGAAAAGCATTTGAAAACATTGATCAAATTCTCTTTACAATTTAACAGGCTCACAACGTAAATACATTGTGAAGTCACACCATGGAATCAATGGAGCCTTGAAACACTGGTATTGTTCTTTCTTTTTTCTCCCCATATGCTGAATGTGTAATAAAGAAGAAATCTCTGCACAGGGAGCTAATATTAGTAATTTAAAGGAGCATCAGAGAAGAGCTGGATTCACAAAATCTTATGGTAGCTCACAGAGAAAAAAAAATGTGACAATGAGTGTGTATATGTCCATGTATGACTGAAAAATTGTGCTGAACACTGGAATTTGACACAACATTGTAAAATGATTATAAATCAATTTAAAAAAAAAGAAAAGAGCTGGATTAAACTTCATTATCTTTTTTTAAGGCTATTACAACCAACCAGTGCTTCCTCTGCTTGACACTGCAATTTTCAATACCCCCAAATTAAAATCAGCTGAAGATTTTATACCAACTCTGTGGGTGTGGCTAACTCAGGTATTAAAAACAGAGTATGAGCTCCCTTGGCAAGAACAATGCTTTTTTTTTTTTTTAAAGATGATGATGTAGTGAGAGACATCCCCCAAATTACACTGCAGCTGCTACGAGCAAGGGTATCTGCTTCCATTATCAAGATAAAAGTAGACAACTGGCTTGGAAGAAGACTCAAGAAACAGAGGAAGCCCTGGTATCTGACGGGTTTGAAATAGCGGTGGGTTGCTAAACAAAGATGTCAGATTTAAGTGGGGACTCATAAAATAAAATGTATCCACTTAAAACATTTAACTCAAGATATAAATGTACCAGCTTGTGATGTAGGGCAAAGAACCTTACACTGCAAAGGAGTTTGTTTTTACAATTCTGCCTATTTTTCTTGCAGAAATCTCACTGATGAGGCACAATCCATGGTTTGTTTGATTAAGTGGAGACTATAATGTAATGATGCCCCCCACCCCAGTTTATTATGATCTTACCCCAAGTTCAACAGCATATTTTTTAAAGTTTTTCTAGAACATAATACTTGGTTTTCCTAGCAACAATTCTGACTAGATTACTTTTTGACGACTTGCATCTAATTAAATGATGATTACTTTAAGGAGTACAACAGGAATACACAGATTAAGGAACAAGCACCCACAGAGTCCCAGTAAGCACCAAGTTGACTCATGCAAGCAGAAGTGCAGGCAGGCACTGAAGACGGTCCTTCCAGGTCTGGGCATGATGGGCGGTGCGCAACCACCAGCATGTCTTAGGGAGGGAATGTGGTTTAATGGGACTCAGCTCAGTCAAGCTGAACTCAGTTCAACAGATCTTCTACTTCTTTTATAGCATCTATTTGAAAAAATTGTTCTTTGCTACAAGGGGGCTCTACAAGATAGCAAAACCAAATTATAAGACATTAAAAATGAGCGCTGCATAAGGCTGTTTCATCTGCTTGCCAGTTCTTAACAATTTCAGAGGATGTCAAAATTAGCATGGGCTGCAAAAGCCTTCTTTGATGAGTTAGAATTTGACGTGGCCTTGACCAGGAGAGGAGAGCTCACATCACAGAAATAGCACATATTAAATTTCTTTAACCTCATGTTAGAAATTCTCCAGAATATATTCCTTTCTACTGTTGTGTTTCCACCTCATAAAAGATCGCCTCCTTCACTCATTAGAGTTTACTTTAACTTTTGTACACTTGCTTCTGTATTGGTACAATTTCCAGAATAGTCTAGGACAATCTTACCACACAAGTTAACTCTTCCAAATGTCTATCAAGAACCACAAATCCATGGTTGAAATGATCTCAAACCTAAATTTTACAAATACCAATAGTGATCCAATGCACAGCTCAGAAATATCATAGAAGCACTCTGTTTTCTACTCTAGTTTTATAAAAAAATTTTTTATAATCACCAGTGGGTCTGCATCAGGACATAAATTATTCACGGTTCTCTTCTCTTCCACTGTCACTCTTTCTTCTTCCGAAGAAGTCAGAGACTCTGTGGAAAAGGACTACACATTCAGCATAGGCTGTCAAATCCAGCTTTCTTCCTCATGACTCCACAAACAGAGGGTGGTCCTTTGCGACACAACCTAGCAGTGCACTGAGTGCAACATGCTCTTCAGATATGATTTTGGCTGCAGTTTCCGCACGTGTTATTCATTATTTTTCTTATTTGCTATGTAGTAACTCTCTGCCCTGTGAACATTAGGTCGGAGCACTGGAAATTTTTACCATTTAAGCTGGAAAGCATATGGGGAAGCCCATCTCATATGAGCTGCATTTGGCACCCTTTTAATGGGATTAGCTAAATGAATCACCTTTTTGAATGGAATAAGGATTATATGAGCATGTATATACACAGTCACATAATAAAGAATATTTTAAGGGAATTTTTATAGGTAGCTAACAGGAGTACAATAATTTATCTTACTGTGTTGTGCTTTTAGGTTAATAACCTAGAAAAATATCACATGTACACTAGAAGTTATGCCAATAATACATTCACTTAAAAATTTATATTGTAAACTTACAAGTTACTATAAAGTTGCTTTTGAGAAGTAAATCCAGAAAAAAATTAAGAACATGGAGTAACATCATCTTTCTTTATTATCCTGAAGTGCTTTGCATAATGACCCCATATGGATAGAGCCCCTGTATTTACTAAGCCTGAGGGCTATCGAGAGGTCAGGGTCATTGGTGGGGGATCTGCTGTACTTTGCTTTGCAACAAACTTCCTAAGTTTTCTCTTTGTGAATATCAGTCTATTCCCCATTGAGTCATATTATGATGACTAATAAAGAAATTACACAAGGGGAGAAAAACCTAAGAGAAAAATTTATGAGATCTTACTTGACTCTTTGTTGAACTAAAATTTGCTAGGCTCATTTATAAAGTTTTGAACCGAGGAGGAGTTAAAACATGGCAAAAAAAAAAAATCTGTGTTACATGTACCCAAATTACATAAATATTATAAACACTTCTAGAAACTCACCATCAATTTATTACTGGAATGAAAACAGCTGCTTAAAAAGCAAA